TTCATTGTTCCTGTTAGTTATTCCTATGCAATGTTTTATTATTATTACTTTTTTTTGACGTGTGTAAACATTTACTTGTATCGCCACCAATAAATAAATAAATAAAAAAATACCATTTTAGGTGACCGGGCTATACTGCATATTTACCCAAAACCATTTATGTTTAATTATCCTCTTGGTGGCACCTCCCCAAGTCGACCAGAAACTATTGCAGAACTCGGGGTGACATTTGATAAAGAACTGACATTTAACTGCCACATTGATCGAACTGTTGTCTACTATAAACGTATTGTATATGGCCTCTGTGTGCGATCCAAACTGGAATACGCTTCTGCAGTATGGTCTCTATATCATCAGCGTCATATTGAAGTTGTGCAGAGACGATTTCTGAAGTTATTAGTTTCAAGGTTGATGGAACTTACCACTTACCCACCTATAGGAATACCATATTCTGATTTTTCATAAAGACATAATTATTTTTCCCTTAGATTAAGACGATCATGCAATAGTGTTATTTTAACTTACAAAATTTTAAATAATTTAATTGATTTTCCAGATATACACAGTAAAATTAACATAAGAGTTCCAATAGATAATTCCAGAGTTTTAGATTAGCTTTATATTAACGCCTCTTGAACAACTATGGTCAACTCTCCATTATACACCATGCTTGCAGCGACAAACTTTGTTGTAAATTAAAGACATAAAATCTCATTTTTATTGTACTTAGGGTGGGTATTATAAAACTGCTTTGACCGTTAACTTGACGTTAACTTTTTGAATTACATGTAATTTCAGAGGTTAACTTTAAGTTAACTCTCAGAGTAGTTTTATAATACCCGCCCTTAGTGTTGTATTGCAGAATGTTATTATAATATGTAGGACTATTATTTACATTTTTAAACATAAGTCAGATTGTTCCTATTCTGCAATTGGGTTTTACCTGTAGAGTATTGTATCTATTAATTAATTAAATAAATAAACAAATAAAACCTCCGTCTCCAGCAGTTAGGGATGGCAAAATAAAAAAATATATCGATATATCGAATCATATGATATATCGAAATAACATATCGAACAAAAAACATCGATATTTTGAATATATCGATATATATTTTATTTTTCCATTTTTTTCGACGAGCGTGGGAAAAGTGCTTTTTTTCTGCATGCATTTTAGGCCATGAAAATATCACTTTTCCGCACTAGTGTGGAAAGGTAAAATAATTATGCAATGTTAGGTCACCCTGATACTTTCATGTCCTAAAATGCGTGCGGAAAAGTACTTTTCCGCACAATCGTAGAAAAATAACGTTCCCTAATCATGCGGAAAGTCTCTTTTCCTAATTCAGTTGGTACGTACACGCCCTAACTGACGTATGTTTTATTTTAGCCGCCACTGTCAACAGTCAGACTCTCACAATCAACAAATAATGAACTATGCGCACGAGCCAAGAATTATTTTAAAATTTCCGATATATCGAAAAGATTATATCGATATTTTTTTCGATATATCGAATGAAGAATATCGATTTAAATCTATCGATATATTTGAATAATATATCGATATTTACAAAATATCGATATATTTTTGCCATCCCTACCCTCCAGGTGCAATGTTCCTTCAAAAGCATACAGTGCTTAGCAGTGTTGTTCAAAGGGCACAATTGTGCCAAAAGTGGCACTTTTCACCCGCAAAATGCACGGTGGCACCACTTTGAAAAATTTGGCACGATTCACATTTATTAGATATTATCCTTTTTCAAATTTTTAAGATGAGAAAGACTGGACCTGGAGCAGGATTTTTCGTTTTTGTATTCTATTGTATTTTTTGTTCATTTTATTTCTGTGCTAGTGACCTCAGATTCCTCAGACCTACCTGCCTGTGAGAATTGTGGTGGATCTGTCGGTCTTGGGATCTGTCGATGTGAATATTCTCCTTGGATGTGAGTAAAGTTAAGACTAGTGATAGTGACGTGACTGTCAATTGTCATTATAGTGGATTTAATATATGAAATATATTATATCTTTCTCCTTTTAGTCATTTAATAAAAAGAAATGGGTAGAAAGTCAATTTATTAAGTAAGTGGCACTATTTGGCACTATTTGAGTGCTGCTGCAGGCACATACGAAAATTCCCCAAGAACAACCCTGGTGCTTAGTCCCCCATGAATGTTCAAAGTTACAAGAAGCAATGGAAAAAATCAAATTTCAAAGTTCTTCAGATCATAGCAAGAAAAGCATTTTCGTCTGGAAAGATTTAGTAGATTGCTTAGATACATGTATTTACTAGAAGACAGAATCAAGAAATCTTTGGAATGCCCTTATAGTGGTTCATACAAAGTTTTTGGAAGATCTAGAAAAAATTTACCTACTCTTCTCATTATTGGAAAACGAAAAACTGTTTCTTAAACCAGCATTTTTTGAAAGAGCAATAACTTGATGGATTTTACCAAACATCGGAAATTTAATAAGAGAGTCAGATTTAATTTAAAATGTCAAAATATTTTGAAATGTCAATTTCTGATTTTTATAAATAGGTACCTATTAAAAACTTTATTTGGGGGGCGTACCTAATGGGGAGTTTCTTATATACCTACGATATGTAGTGGCATTGTATAAACTATTCGAACGGACTGTTTATACAATGATAGTAGGTATAATTTAGAATAAGTAGGTAGATATTGTCATGGCAAAACTTTGGTAATAGTAAACTGCTTTTAAATTGCCACCAAGATCCTTTGATCTAAATCCTTTGGATTTTTTTATGTTTAAATTATCGCTCAACTAAACGAGTCGGTCAAATAAGTGGAAAATTGAGTAGATACAATTTTGGTTTCTAGAAGGACGAAAAACGAAATCGCCAATGATATTTTTGATTTAAGAATGAATATGGCGGAACCTGCACCTTCACCAAAATTTAAGATTACCTGATTACCTATGGAATTTTGGTACTCTGTGACTTGCGCCTCTGATTATTGATAAAGTAGTGTCACTTCAAGTTATTTTAATTTGATAGCCGGACAATGTATGAGTATGGACAAGGGTTTTCACTTGAATATCACTGGTAATAGTTTGCTCCATTTGATCAGGAGAGTTGCTAATGCAACTTATGTACAAAAATTTATTAAACGTGACTGTACCTACCAGGAAGTATTTGTTAAGAAATAGAAATAGATGCATAAAATTTCCTTCTCCCACGCTGAGAATTTAGTGAAGTAAGCGGTATAGGCAAGGCAAATAACTTTTTTACTATGGCAAGTTTAGTCCCAGGCCCACTTTGAATGTTGGTTTTATTACCAAGATTTTAGCTGGTTATGGTTGTTACCCTGTACCTTCACCATTTCTCCATAGTACGCTACACTGCGCCTGGGCCTGGTTACTGTCGCAACAATATAATTAGTGATGCTCAATGAACCATAAGGACAATGAAATTCCAGCAAACACAAAGGGAAATTTTTAGCATCGGAAAATTAGTATAATACTAGTATTCCATATTTGCTGATATGAGATTTTCTTATGATAATTCCTTAATTATCTTCATTTGCCGCCTTTTATGTTCAATGCGACCCAGCTGAAATAGATTGAGACCGAGGACAATCTCATTCAACGCCACACCAACGATCACATGTGCTCGATCATAGGCTATATATAGGATCGGTCAACGCATTCTGGGTATTCTTAAAACAGTCAAGTCTGCAAAAAATCCCCAGTCGTCGCGGCATTGCTTATATTTAGCGCTGCCTGCTGCTAAATTTAGTGACTAAGCAGGCGCCGCTTTTGGTTATCGCCCCAACAACGATTTAAGACGATTAGAATAAGCCTTATCTACCAAACTACCTACACCAATTGGTATAGCTGATTAGCAAATCGAATGTACCTATGCCAAACATGAACATTTGTTAATTGTTAAAATTGTTTTTTTTTTTTCGTAAGGCTGAGATTTCAAAAACAAAAACATTTAGATTAGATCTACCCTTGTCAGGCAGGCAGCATGTTCACTTTGTTTTTTTTTTTCTACTTTCATGAGTAGAGGTACTATCAATGACACTTGATATAGATAGGACTCTTTAGGCTTATAACTATACTTACGAGTATCCCCTTAAACTTACCCATGACCTACCTTTTCCTGAGAAAAACATTCTCAATGGTGACGTACGATATTGGTGAGTTTTTAACCCTCAGTTGTCAACATGGTAAAATGTAACGAAAATATTAACGTCGGTCTACAAGACCGAAATCTGTTAAAACCAATTTCGTGTCAAAACCAGTCTTACCGGCATAAATATCCGACCTCAATGAAAAAAAAATACCAGAGGCTAACGTCGGTCTATGACACCAACAATAGAAAACAGCAATGTTCTAGTACTAAATTGGTTCTTGCGTCTTACAGTTTATGACAACTACAAAAAGTCAACTTAACACTAGACAAAATATAGATTTTTATACCAATGAACTTTACCTAAAGAAGTTTTCCAATCAATACAACAAAATTTTATCATTAGTTAATACCGGTCTGTGATACCGTTCCCCCAAAAATAGAACTATGAAGGGGCGTACTTCAATAGTTCTGTAGTACCGGAGTCCGATACCAAAATAATGAAGCTACTGAGGCGCATGCGCGCTCACAACAGCAGGTTCGGTAGTTATCGACGGAACGTACCTAAGTTGGTCTCTAGACCCGGCGTTAACGATGGAGGGTTAACAGCCTTAAATCAACTTATTAAATCCTTTTATTTTCTACATTGTTTTTTTTTAATTCTTTTTGAAACTTTATTAGTAAGGTTCTCAGCATTATAATTTTCTACTTTTATGCCTAATTTTCATTTTGATTTTTTTTTGTATTTGGTTCTAATGTTTATTGTTGACTATAGACTTGTTTTATATTCCACAAGTGCTTTATCAATTAAAACTTACCTCTGGGTGACAATAAAAGTTCCTGTCAAAAGAAAAATGGTTTAAAGACAAATCGATGTAACCACCAAAATAAAAACCCGAAACAGTAACAATTAATAAACTATATATTGCGTGAATAAATTATTATGACAAAAAAGTTCGTACGGCAGCCTTGATGACTGATCGACAAACAGGACAATCTTCCAAATTGGGGGCGCAGTTCACACAAGTTGCCAAATGTCCGCAAGGCAAGAAAACAATTCCCACCTCCGCGTCCATACAAATTTTACATTGTCTCGCTTCCTTGAGAATTCTATTTTCCTCTTCCAAAGATACAGATTTTTCAAACTTAACACCTGACGGCGCACAAGCGTCAAACTGACCCCTAGGACAATCTGGAGGCGTACTCGACTGCTGAGGTATATTTGGTTGTAATGTTTGGTCTGTATTACCGTTATCAGTTCCTTTACTAAAATCAATCAGAGCTGCTACTAGATTATTTCTTATTTGGTTGCTAGCGAGAGGAGGATTTTCAAAACCATCTTCTTCTTCTAGTTGCATGTTAAGTGACGCTTCCACTAGAGCGTCTGCATGAGAATATCCTTGTCCTGTAAGTTCTAGTTTTTCTTTCATAGCTCGTCTGACTCTTTGCACGTCTATTCCTATACCTAGAGCTGTAAGGGCGGGTTCACTTATCATGTGAGCTTGAAGTTCTTCATTGGATACTTGCCGTCTTTTCTTTGCTTGAATTTTGCTATTTTGCTGAAACAAAAAATGTGAAAGTTAGTTTTATGAAAATTTTAATGTAAGTTATGTCGTTCTTTATTTTTGTTGCCAATTAGCCATAGACATCCTATTTGTGATCACTTTTGTGTCTTTCTACCAAAAAAGTATTCTAAAAGGACCTTTTCAATACAAGGATTATTTTAGCGATAGAAATAAGGATTGCAATAATTAAAATAGTCATCACTTATTAATTCCAATCATGAACGTTCTTATTTATGAGATTACGAAGTAAATGTATATTGACATTTACAAGAGACCCCCGAGACGGAAAAGCCAAGAGACAAGCGAGTTCATTGAGCTACTTTTCTCTCTTAACAACAACCTCGATTAGCGCATTCATCTTTAGCAGCTTTCTACTTTCCACGTGGGTCTCGTCTAAATCAATTCTGCCTTTTGCGGATCAGTGGGCACGTTTATGTCGCAGACAACAACCCCGTTCGTTGCCTTTTGCAGAATAACAAACGATTTCCATAAAATAAATCACGTTTCAGTTTTGTAATTTTTCAAGAGGACTTTCAAAGTATGATTCATGTTTTGCCGAAACTTACTTTATTTCAATTAAATAAATTGTCCGATCGAACATTGCGTGACAAACCGACTTTAATTCGTAGGTCGCAGACGTGGCGATCTTTGCAGACCTTTCCTGCCATGTAGCTGTACAAAATAGCAGGATTCCGGCAGACGGACGACGTGAATTAACTTCACTTCCGTATGTCGATAATTCCGCATCGTAATTGAGATTTGATTCCAAAATCTATGGACAGAAATTACTCCTCTATATCGAGTTTCACTGTACTGTAGGCAAAGGTTAAAAGTTACACAGGATTGTTTTTTTTTTGTGACATACTCAACTTGAGCCTGTCCTTTGTAGAATTTTAAAACTGTTTTTTCACTTTGGTTACAAAAGTTTTGCACCACTTTGTAATTCTTGAAGTTACTGCATTTTATTGAAATTATTGAAAGTTGCATTACAAATTGTAATTAAAGCAATACTGCTGCTAGAATTACAAAAAAATAACACAATGATGTTGCCAAATTTACGTTTTTTCCGAATTGTAGCACCATCTGACAATATTTCCTAGACTTTAAAATAACGGAGATGGCCCATACACTACTCTATATCATGCCATGTTATCAACACACTACTTTTTTACCAACTTCTGCACATTTTATGTTTACCAGAACTTTCCAGTGTTGAATATTTAACATTTATTTGTGTAATCCTAATCCAGTCAACATAAATTGTACATGCACTACTTTATATTCCAGGTAAATCCACATGCAAAAACTTATGTAGCAATAGTAAAAGACTTCTATGTTTAATTTTCCACTAATTTACAATAAATTACTGAGATTCGAATAGGTTACGGGCCCAGTCGCCAAAAGCTGTGAAAAATACTGTAACTGGAGTAATTTGTGTGGATAAATTTCCGAGAAGAATCAAAATTGTGGAAAAACAAAAACAAAGAAACAAGTTCGAGATGGCGTCAGCTTTATTACCATTCCCTCAACTAACAAGTGATAACTACAACCTACAACAAGTTGAAATATTAACAGAAACGGACGGCGTGAAAGAAGTGTTAACTACGAGTCAAGAGGACTATGACAAACTTGATATTAACAATAAAGTTAAGTATGACAAGTCAGAATCAAAAGCAAAATGTATTATAGTACAATGCATGACCGACAAGCATATAGAATATATAAAAGATGCAAGAACTGCAAAAGAAATACTCCGGAGTTTGAAAAATGTTTTTGAGAGAAAGAGTACTTTCTCAAAGCTGTATATTGTTACGATAACGCTGCCGCCCGAATAGGCGTCCGCCAGGCTGTCAAGAATCCTATGCATCTACTGTCGAATATCCTAGAATCTAGCGAATTATTCTACTCGAATCGGGAAAATAAGATTAACGTGTGTATTCTGGATTTTACAGGAATAGATTTAGGGATATATAAAGGCCGCTATTGCTTTGTAGTTTTTAAGTTTCAGTTCGACTGTGATACGATTTAAATAGTGATTATTGTTGTAAAGAGTTAAATTGTTAGTTATTTAAGTAATTAGTGTCAGAGTGTATTGTTACGTGGAATAAATTATTGCTGTGTTAATTGGACTTTGATTTTTGGAATAAACGAAACGAACCCAAGATTTCTGTCAGGCAAGCCAAAGCCGTGACAATTGGTGTCAGAAGTGAGACATAAAGGATTGCATAGTGAAATCCAATTGCGGAAGTGCGGGGACACTAGTGTAGTGTAAAAACTGAACACTAAGTGAACACTGGGACAGTTAGTCAGTGCAAACAATGACAATCACAAAAAGATACTTAACCGATCGTGTGAATTACCCCGGAAGTGACTATATACCCGATTTTGACTGTGATAGTGAATCTTCGAGTGAGTTCTAGAAAATTCTATTTGGAAACTAAGGGAGATATCGAATTTGCGACTTCGCCGACGTATTCGGAACATCAATCGTCATTCAGAAAAAGTTTTTCGAGGAGTTTCGGGAAAATTCTAGAACATTCTATTTGGAAACCAAGGGAGATATCGAAATTGTGACTTCACCGACGTGTTTGGAACTTCGAGCAAAGACCAGGAAAGATATTTGAAGAAAGTTCGAGGGAAATTCTAGAACGTTTTGTATATGCCTATCATAAGACAACAAGCAAAAATGGACGAACAAAAAGTTGAAGAACTTCTGCGCAAAATGTTGGAACTTCAAGTGACCAAACGACAACAAGAAAAACAAGACGAAGAAGCTAGACGACAACAAGAACGACAAGAAGACATTGGACAACTGCAGAAAATATTTCAAACCATACAAGGATCTGTCGCTAACCTAGAACAAAAGATTAAAGAAGTAAAAGCCGAAGTTAAGGACGATGTTCAAGAGGTTAAAATCGATGTTCAAGAAGTTAAAGACGATGTTCGAGAAGTTAAACACGACTTTCAGGGAGTAAAAGCTGCGGTCAAAGCCGATGTTCAGCAATTAAGACAAGAAGTTGAGGACCAAGTTCAAGCACTCGAAGATAAGATGCGTAGATTAGAAATACAGTCCATCAATCCAGCTAGTGTTGGAGTATTCTCTGGTATGAAGATAAAACCACCAACTTTTGACGGTTCTACATCCTGGACCATGTATATCCGACAATTTGAAGCTGCTGCAAATACCAACGGATGGAACGACCAAGAAAAATCTACAGCACTAATAGTGGCGCTACGAGGACCTGCCTTAGACCTTCTTCAGTCCATTCCTTCAGTCTACCAACAGAATTACCAGCATCTAAGTCAGACGTTAGAATTGCGCTTCGGAGATCTTTACAGGCAAGAAAGAAGTATTTAGAACTCAAGTCAAATCAATTATATAAAAACCCGGCGAGAGTTTACAAGAATTCGAATCAGAAGTTAAAAGGCTAGTAAGTTTGGCGTTTCCTGCAACTGGGGAAGACATGCAAGAATGGATGGCAGTGTCTGCGTTCATTGATGGTATCAAAGGTTCCAAAATCCAGAAAAACTTAAGAATGTCTAAATTCAGGCAAAGTAGCGAAGCCCTTGTCCGAGCATTGGAACTGGGGGCAATCTTTGGTGCCTCACGATCCAGAGTACGAGCAGTGTCCATTGAAGACCCAAAAGATAAACAGTTGTCAAAAGAGGATGGTGGCTTCGAAACTGTAATGAGTAATTTCATGAAGAAAATGGAGAGAATGGAGAAACTGTTACTAGAAGATAGAAAAATGGGAAACGATTCCAGACAAACACCAACCCCGAGAAACCGAATAGAGTGCTACCGGTGCCACAAGCTTGGGCATATTCAACGAGATTGTAGATCCAACGCTTTTCGAGATCGAGAGACGCCAGCCCTAATAACAGACAGGGAAACGAGAACTAACCAGTATGGGGGGGCGAATGCTGGTTAGTAATGACAAAGCCCCTAAGGTTGTTTACATAAAATCATCGGGCAGTCATTTAGAGGATTAAAATTCGAAGGAAAAATTAATGGAGAATTTAAAACTTTTACTTTTGATATGGGTACTGAAGTTTTTATAATTAGGAAAACAGAAACCAGTCACTACGAACAGTCACGGGCGAATCGGCACTAGTTCAAGGAGAATCTATGGTTGAGTTTACATTTGGATCTACCACTTTTAGACTTTAGTAAGCAAACATTTTTGTGAAGGATAATCAAACCGGACGGACCAGTTTAATTCAACACAAAATTGATACTGAATTGGCACACACAATTAGACAACCACCTCGACGTATGCCAGTAGCTAAACACTGCGTACTACTGCAGAACGTTATCAAAGCCAGAACGGAATTATTGTGACACCAGAAGAGAGTTGCTTGCCATAGTAAAAGCAGTCGACCATCTCCATAAGTATCTCTACAGATGTTAAGTTTCTGATTCGAACGAATTACGCAGCTCTAAAATGGCTGAGGCATAAGAAAAACACTGCTCCAGCTGTGAGAAGAACGCGTCTTATCGTTGATGATAAATGGACTACCAAACAAATGAGATAATATCAAGAGGCAGACCAGGACATCGGGCAAATTCTTCATCTTAAAGAAAATGATGAATGTAGGCCAGAATGCAGGGAAATATCGAACAAGAGTTTGATTTACAAAGCGTTGTGGGCTCAGTGGAACTCTCTGACCGTAGAAAATGGTTTACCCAAAAGAGATTGGGAAAGTGCCGATGGGAAAGACGAAGAGCCAACTAGTTATTCCAAGAGATCGAGTAGAAGATGTATAATAGTATGTTGTCCAATAGCAGGCGGTAAAACCGATGAAGCTATTGTTACTTCTTTGAGTTGTGTTCACTTGTTGACTTGCAGGTCACATAATTTTCTTTTCTTATTTTTTTTTCTTTTTTCCTCCTTTTCTCTTTTTTCTTTTTTTTTTCTTTTTTTTTTTTTTTTTCTTTTATTTCCCCTTTTTTTTCCCTTTTTTTCCACTAGGCACTGTAATGTATCATTCTTGCTGTACTATCCTTAAGTTCCAAGTCCAATCTGCTTTTAAACGCGTTTATACTACTGCCAGTCACTGTGTTCTCCGTCAAGGCAATCCACGAATAAACGATATGATTTGTTAGGAAGTTTTTCCTAGGAAGTTTGGCTACTTTTTCTTTGTCTAGTTTCTTTGAGTGCCCTCGAAGTTGTTGCTTTTGATTTTGGTGAAATATCACAATTGTAGTATCCACTTGTTATCTCAAAGGTCCCAATCAGATCTCCCCTGTGCCTTCTTTCTCTTGATGTTGTTAATCGGTATCTCTCCAGTCTCTCAGGATAACTTAATTCTCTCATTTCTGATGGTATCTTGGTTACCCTCCCCTGTATTTTTTCTAAGATTTCTATGTCCTTGATAAAATATGGATTCCACACTGTGTAGGCATATTCAAGTTTAGGCTTGATGAAGCTTTTTTACAGTTTGCCTATCATTTCGACGGAGTGGTCTTTGAAAGCATGTTTAATCACAAACACAAATGTACTGGCTTTTTTAGCTATTTTCAGAATGTGGTGTGGAGATCGTTCTGCTCAGTGACAGTTGTTAGTGCTGTGTTGTTCAGAGTATATTCTTCATTGGGATTGTTTGGGCCGATTCTAAGCACTGTGCATTTTGACTCGTTGAGTTTCATACCCCAAGTTCCAGTCCATACTTCAATATTATGCAAGTCTGCTTTTAGTTGTGCTTCATTGAGAAGAGGGTTGGCATATAGTTTTTCGTCGTCCTCAAAACTTGTAATTTTTGTTTCAAGGCAATTAACAAGATCAAAAAGGTATGTTATAAAGAGCAATGGGCCCAGAAACGATGCCTGGACAACCCCACTCCTCACAAGGTGTTGTCTTGAAATTGTTCCATTGACTCAGACCTGGTAGTATCTTTCACACAGAAGATCTCTGATGAGTGTCAACAGCCTTCCCCGTAGTCCAAAATGCTCTAGTTTTCCAAGCAACAGGTTATGCGGCACTTTTATAATCAAGATATATAACATCAGTGGGCTGAAGGTTATCACGGTTTTCTGTCCAGTCACTAAGACTCTCCAGTAGGTTGATGACAGTGGAGCATTTTGATAGAAACCCGTGCTGTATTGGTGGTATTAAATTGTTCTCAATGAAAAAAACTGTCAATTCCTCGACCATGAATTTTTACATGCATTTATATGGTATCTATCGAATTCCAGAATCTGGTATTTGCAGGTAGGGGTGGAAGAAATAAGTGCTGCTGTTGGGTGAAGGATTTGTCGAATTGTTCAGCAAATTTTTCAGCCATAGCTTCATTGTCCAAAACTTCTGATGTTATTGTTGATACCTTAGAGTTTAAGTTTCTGTTTATATATTTGTAGATCCTTTTTGGTGAATCTGCTGTAACTAAGCCATGCTCATATACTCTCCTAGCTTCGCCCAGTTTTTGTTTGAGTGTGTTATTTTGGGTCATATAGGCCTGATAGTTCTCGTCTGGTTTGTTGTTTTTGTATTTATCCCAAAGTTTACGTTTTTTGCTGATTTGTTTAAAAAGTGATTGATTAATCCAAGGCTTTTGCTGGTTTGCTTTCACAGACTTCAATGGAATACATTGTTCTATTGCTCCATTCAAGATCATCTCGAAACTTTCAAATCTTGTGAGTTCCATGTTGGTTTCAGGATGGTGTCTAATATAATTTTTTATCTCATCATAGTTGGCTGTATAGAAATTTCTTCTTATCACTTCAACAGTTGGTTTTGGTGGTAGCCTTATATGTGCTTTGGCAGTGATTACTACATGATCGCTACCCCCAACTGGTTCTCAGATTTCAAATCAAAAACGCTTTTCCGATCGCTGC